AGCTTCCAGCTAAAATATGAGTCCATAATTCAAAATAATGCTTTCTTCAGTGAAAAAGTCGTCTCGCCTGAATCAGGAGAGAAATATGCACCGATCAAGCACCGTTTACAATCGAAAACAGTTCTTAACAAATATCTCTTTGATTTGATTTTGATGTAAGACAACAACAGGAGATGGACTTTATCACTAGATGAATCGTTATTATGGATTATGGACTCATATTTTGACCAGAAGCAATGGTTTAAAGTTAAAACATCTTAATGATGTATTTTTTTTCTTACAAACACACAGCTTTTCACTTCACAAGATGTTAACTGATGGACTGGAGTGCTGTGGATTACTTGTGGATTATTGTGATGTTTTTATCAGCTGTTTGGACTCTCATTCTGACGGATAATACTAAATTTCTCCAAATCTGCTTCTCGCTTAGCTAGAAGCATTCATTTGCATTCTTAGTGTAAGTCTTTATAATGGACCATCTGCATGCAAGTCTTTTTATTTTTCTTAGTCACCGACTATTTATACACTGGAAATGGCTTTAACTGCACCGGCTCATTATTAATGAGACACAAATAGGGTTATTTACCTTATTTTTTGTTAAACTTCTCATAACTGCTGTCGAACACTTATGAAGGATTTTAGCAATAATAGTCTTTACGTTTAACAGCCTCATTTCTGCTGTCGCATTCACTGGAGAGAAACAGTTAAGATACAAATATAAAGAAAGCAGTGTAGAAAGTGAAGTAGGAGCCATTAAAACAACTACTGGATTTGTCTAAATTAGAGTCACTGGATTTCTCTTTAAAACTGGATAGACTTCTCACTGGAACCAACAGCAATTGCGGGTCAAACACTGTGGCAAAAACACTGGATCATTAAACTGGATTTTAGGAAACACTTCAAAATCGAGTTTTTACTACGGTACTTTCTTTACCTTATTCTTTCCTTTTCCTTCTTTTACAATGTATATTCTTTCATTTTTAATGCATTGTTCTGACTTTAGTATGCTGCTCTGCATACTATACTTTAAGCCGTAACCAATGATCGTGTTCAAAATCAGAGCGGATCTCGGTGGTTTCTCAGAGAATTTGTCAGACAATGTCCTAAACTTTCAGTGTTACTAAACAAAACTCAGTAGATTCATTCTAATTTCATTGTCTTTAAAATCCCCCACTTCTCTTTTTTTTTCTTTTTTTGTTTGTCAAGAAGAAAAATGACCAGATTTATTCTGTCTTTCATGTAATCCAGCACTATGTAAATTTCAACACTATATTTAGAGTACTTTTGTCTTTGTTTGTTTCTTATCCTAGTACACATAACATTTTGATGTTCTAGATATTGTTTGAATGTTTTAAAGCCATAATGTAGTCTTTGTAAGGCTGGGTAATATGTGATTATGTTCGTCATGGTCCAATCATGAACCAGGAAAGTGTTGACTGAAAATGTTGTGCACTAAAATTACAATTTCCATAATGCCATACTAATGCATGATACTGATTCTGAGTATAAAACATTTGGGATGATCTTTTGAAATCTAATATATGGTTATTTTTTAAAAATCATTGGGAATATCACATATTCTGTCATGAATAAACCAGCCTCTTGTGGAAGCACTTCCAAACTATGCACTGTAAATATTGTTTTTCTAATGTTTTCTGTGACATCTAAAACTGTAATATATGAAACGTCTTTTAAATGTTCTTGTGAGAATTCAGTTTGGTTTTTATTATTTGTTATAACTCATATCTTTCATTATGTACAACAGTATCCTTTATTTCTGTTCTTTTTACTCGTCATTAGTTTTATAACATAATTTTAGTACATTTATGATTTGTTTGTTCTCTGCTAATCATAAAATATTTGATTAAAAACATTACTTTTTTATTTTTTACGTTTTAAATAACTTGTTTTAAGTGGGGTGAAACATTCCCTGTTTATCAATTACTGTGGTATAAAATTACAAAAAATAAAAAGTCTGTCTTATGTTTATCTTTACGGCTTTAAGCCCTGCAAGAACTAAAATATTAAAAACGGTTGATTCACTATTGTGTTTATGTTACAGTTTCTCATTTCCATTGTTTTATCTGAGCTTTCTGAAAGCCTCTGTTGTATATTGATACATAATCGTTATTTTTAATTCATCTGCATAATTTGTCTGACTTTTTGGACATGTATGTGTACTGATGTCGTAATACAAATGCATGCAAGCATGATGCATAAATAAAAAACAAATTCTGGATACTAAATTTAAATTCGTCTTTGTGTGAGAGCCATAATGAAAAGACAAATACATTGTAGAAAAATGTCTATCTGTCCCCTTGGAATAAAATAAGTTTATATATATAAATAATAATAATATTATTATTATTTTATATATATATATATATTATTTTATTTTTTTCAAGTAACAAGTTTTTTTAATGGTGTTTATTTATTTCAATATAAGACAAAAACTCAAAACTACAAGAAAAAAAGTTGCAATTACCTTTATATTTTTTTTATTTTGTGGTGGAAACAGGCTTCCATACATTAGTTTTTATTAATAATTTGAATTAGTTTTTATTTTAATTTTAGTTTTACTAGTTTTGTTGTGTTTTGTCATTATTTTATTTATTTTCATTGATATGTAATTTTTATTCATTTGTATTTCAGTTTTAGTTTAGTACATCAGTTTAAAATCCAAAGTGAAAATGAGAAATGTTGCTTTGGAATAAAATACGTTCAAGGTTTTTTGTATTATTTTGTTTCAGTTAAAGTTTATTTTATTCCAAGTAACATATTTCAAGTTTTTTATGGTTTTAGTTAACTATAACATCGCTGGCCTGTAGCTTGATCGGTTTATATATTATCCTTGAAATTACAGTATTTACAGTCCCTGAGTTTTCCAGACTGGACATGAAATATATTTATTATATCTGTTGTATTTGTGTTTGTCAGGTTGTGGAAATGACATGTACAGGAAAACATTCCAAGGTGAACAGAAATTTTTTTCTGGGACTTCAGGCTGTACCACAGAAGCGCTGGGATTTGGATGCAGTTTGCACTGGCATGATGGGGGGGATTGTGGGTTAATATTTCACGAATAAAAAGTTTTTTTTAGAAAATCAAAAGATTCTTGGTTTTCATTTGATGTGTCCACTGTTAGAGATGTTTTCATTCTCGAGGATTATTTTCTTTATTTAAATCTCTATATTTAGACATTTTACTGTTTAACCTCATTTGAAGTCACATTGTATAAAAGTATCTGCTAAATAAATAACTGTGTAAATGTATGTTCCATTCACATTCAATTATTCCATGCTTTTTTTTAAACTTAAACAATAGATTATGTAATTAAAATATTTATATTAATAGCAAGCATAGAAAAATATTATACAATCAGAATATATTTCAGTCATTATGTCTTGACACAGCGTTATGTCAAACAGAGCTTCACCAACAAACAGTGCTTGATCTGATTAATGATGGATTTGTTTCTTACAAACACGCAGCTTTTCAATTCACTAGACATTAATTGATGAACTGGAGTGGTGTGGATTATTGTGATGTTTTTATCAGCTGTTTGGACTCATTCTGACGGCACCCATTCACTGCAGAGCATCCACTGGTGACCAAGTGATGTAATGCTGAATTTCTCTAAATCTGATGAAGAAAAAAACTCATCCTAATCTTGGATGGCCTGAGGGTGAGTACATATTAAGATTTTCATTTTTGAGTGAACTATTCTTTTTGTTCTGTTGTCCTATCAACAACAGTATGTTCCTTACGTTCATCCTCACACGATGTGAGAGGCGAGTTGGCTGAGTATTTGAAAACATAGCATGCTGTTTGTGTCCTGCGGGCTGTTTGTGGAGCGTAAAACCCCAATCCAAGCTTAATCTGATCAGAATAGAACAGTCTGTCAGCGTGGAGATCTCGGAGATAAAGCGACTACAGCCATGATGACTGAAAGAAAAAGTTCACCCAAAAAAATAGTTAATCGGATTAGATTTGGAGAAATGTAGCATTACATCACTTGCTCAGCATTGGATCATCTGCAGTGAATGGGTGCCGTCAGAACGAGAGTCTATAAAAACATCACAGTAATCCACAAGTAATCCTCACCACTCCAGTCCATCAGTTAATGTCTTGTGAAGTGGAAAAAAATAAAATCCATCTTTGGGGCGTTTTAACTTTAAACCGTTGCTTCTGGCCAAAATATGAGTCCATAATCCATAATAACGCTCCTCCAGTGAAAAAGTCCATCACATGTTGTCTCTAACATCAAAATCAATCCACATATTGGTTTTAAAAATCTCAATTTCGAAAAATTGACCCTTATGACTGGTTTTGTGCTCCAGGGTCACAAATGTGTTCTGATGAAGAAACAAATTCATTTACATCTTGCCTGAGGGTAAGTACATGTTCAGCAAATTTTTATTTTTGGTTGAATTATTCCTTGAACACTTCTGTTTGCAATAAATATGTAAAGTAAAGCATCAGAGACCCGAATCAGGCCAATGGAAAATGTTTATTAGTACAACATCAGAAGTGACAGAAGAATACGATCTCTATTACAGCATAACAAGTGCACTGACGCTCTGCTGTTTACTCACTTTGTGTAGAGTTGGGCGAACAGTGAGGCACTTTGTTGATGCTCCGTCGACAATTTACTGAAAATATGCAGAACGTGTGTCAGTTGGAGAATGTTTATGAAAATATTACAAACAAAATGTTTAAAAAATGGGCACAATATACAAAAAAATACACAATTCCTCAGACCCAATTCCACTCGTCGTTTCAAAGGCAAACTGAAGTGAACGAAATCTCTCGTAGTTCGACTGTAGGATCAAACTCTGTTCAAGCATTGATCCAAAACCATATAAAAAGACATTTCAGTACGTACTACAATGTTACACAACAAGATGTCTACGCAACCAACAGGTAAGAAGCAATTTATGATAATTGTGGCAGTAAGATCAGTACTATTGCACTAAGATGCGTTTAGAGACATTCAGACGTCAGGTTTCATGATGCTTTATTTCTCGTTGCGCTCCAGTCATTAAAAACACAAAATGAGATCTCTCCATTTGCCACTGTGCTCCATGGAAGCCATCTTGGCTCTTTCCTACAATTCTTAAGTTTGTTTTAAGGTGGCGGGGCTCTGAATGAGTCCATCCGTTTAGTTTCTTGAAATGCTTTGGTTGTGTGTTGTATTGCACAACGTTAACGTCCCCCGTGCACCACTTTGGGTTGGTTTCACTGTCGCGCTCTAGCGAATGCGTCACGGAGCCACGGGGAATCTTCGTAAAGTCTGGGGTCTCCCAGGTACTCGGTTGTGCGTTTGTAGAAGTAGTAATACAACACAGCAGCTGGGGAGATACAAAACCATCAACAGGCAATGGTTAACTTGTGTGGAAACCGCAAAACTGCTAAATAATAAAGCGCGATTAACTGTCTGATTGGAAGAAAATTGTGCCTCTGGTTTGATCACACCTCGACAACACCTTTTGTGTCATGAGAGAGAAAGGTTAGGCCTGAATCTCCAAACATGCAGTAAGGGATTGAGAGGTTCTTGACAGTGACCCTCACGTGAAATCCAATCGGGGGTTTGGCTAACGTCTCACGGCCGGCTTACCCAGTCTCTGGAACACAAAGAGAACCTGCAGACCGTCCGTCCACACGAAACCATTGGACTCCATCCACCTCAGGTTCTGACAGGAAATGAACAGAAAGAAGAAAATTTTCGAAATACTAATATGGACAGAATTTTGGATGCAATATAAATCATTTTTTTTATTTTGTTTATTTTACATATTATACATTAAAGGGGTCATATGATGCGATTTCATTTTTTCCTTTCTCTTTGGAGTGTTACAAGCTCTTGGTGCATAAAGAAGATCTGTAAAGTTGCAAAGACTAAAGTCTCAAATCCAAAGAGATATTCTTTATAAAAGTTAAGAGTTAGCCACACCTACCTAAAACGGCTCGTTCGAACACGCCCCCACAGTTTTGTAAAAATCGACGCGTTTCAAAAAGGCGGGGCATAGAGGAGAAACAATAATGTACAGTATGTGGAAAATAATGTGTTTTTTTAACTTTAAACCGCATAAACACATTTCATTACACCAAATACACAAAATAATGTTCTTTTTAGCAGCATCATATGACCCCTTTAATACATTTCTGCAAAGTCAAGTTTGGACACAATATAAATAATTTTTTAATTGATATACAAAAATACTTTTCTGCAAAATGGATTTAAACTGTGGAAATGAACAGAATAAAGGGAAATGGAAGCATTTTAGAAATACAACTATGTAAATACAAATTTTACAATTTTATTTATCTTATACAATAATCATTTTCTACAAAATTTCAGAAGAATGGCTTTAAACATGGGAAATAAACAGAATAAGGAAAAGGGAGTATTTTAGAAATATATATTTATACAGAATAAGTTTTGAACACAATAATAAATCTTTTTTATTTATATATTATACAATAATAATGTTCTGCAAATTTTTAGCAGAATGGATTTAAACATGGGAAAGAACAGAATAAAGGGAAATGTAAGTATTTCAGAAAAACATGTACAGAATAAATTTTTTGTTTTAATTTTACTTTTAATTTAAATATTATACATTAATAATTTTCTGCAAACGTGCAGCAGAATGGATTTAAGCATGGTGAAGAATTTACAACATTTTACAAATGACATTTTTAATTTACCATTTTATGTTATTTAAATTTTTTATTGATATATAATTATACAATAATAATTTTCTACAAAATTTCAGAAGAATGGATTTAAACACTTGAAATGAACAAAATGAAGCAAAATGAGAGGATTTTAGCAGTACAAATCTATTTTGGAGACAATATAAATATTTTTTATTTATTTTTTATTATATATTATACTATAATAATTTTCTGTTAAATTTCAGCAGAATTGGTTTAAAAAAAAAAGTGAAACATTATTTTTTTAAATTTTTTTTTAATTTTAGCTTTATTTTTAATTTAAATATTATACAATAATAATTTTCTGCAAAAGTGCAGCAGAATGGATTTAAACGTGGTGAGGGATTAATAGAATTTTACAAATGACTTTCTGTGCTCACAGATTCCATGTAGGACCTAGTAATAATTGGTGTGTGTGTGTGTGTGTGTGTGTGTGTGTGTACACACCATGACCCAGCAGTGAAAGCAGATGCTGAGAGTCAGGTAGAGTGCAGACAGTATCAGCAGCGCTCGGAATCGCTCCAGTAACAGCGACACCAGCCCCACCTGGAACACGTATGTGTTGAACATCATGAGGAGAATGATGATCACGTTAAACAGGATGCCGATGTCCTGGATTCTGCAGAAAGAAGACAAAACACAGATATGATATTAGAAAACATTTAATGCATCTGCTTTGATTCAAAGCATCTTGCATTGCATTCAAGGTTTGCATTTTATCATTTCACCTGGGATGCCTGTTTGTTCAAGAAACAAGGTGTCTATATAATATTTTTTAAAATATGGCATAAAAGAGTGCTTTTTTAAAAATATTATCTGCTTTCTATATTGACCTAATCAGACTGATGCTATGAATAATGTGACTTGTGGTGCAATCTGTAACTCCTCACATGAAGAGCACGAGCTGTATGACCGCCGCGGCCCGCAGCAGTTCACTGAAGGAGTTGACGAACAGGTCAAAGGTCAGCAGTGCCAGCTGGACCAGCAGCACCAGCGAGTAGTTATTGGTCTGGAGCATATCTGCGATCCGGAATATACTAGAAAACTACACCACCACAGCCCTCCGCCACTCTTCAGCAGACGTGTGACGTGGAGATCATCTCGCCGTGATTATATAGAGGAAATTCCATCTCACTTCCGCCTACTCCATGAAAAACCAAAGGACGGCGAGGACGATTGCTGGAGTTGTTCCACTGGCCGTTTAATCCTGGCACCAGCCATGCTGGATCAGTGACGAGTAAACAGTCAGATGCTCGGGTGAATATTAATGTTCCTGAAGAGCTGAAATCCTCATCAGAGCGTGCTCAGATGTTCCTCCTGAATGGATTATAGAGAAGATAAATCACATGAGAAAAACATTCTCTATCCTATCTCGTTAGCTAGCTAGCTAACTAACTCTTTCTGTTGAATATCTATCTATAGATCTATCTAAAATATATCTATCATATTGAATGCCTGTCTGTCTATCTATCTATTTAAATTTATTATGCTGAATATCTATCTATCTATCACACCATGGTATATGTAGATGGCATGCATAAATATGAAATGTACCATGGTAAAACCTACCATCTAACACCACTGATCCCATGTATAAAGTTCATGTCTATTTTGAGTCAAAAATCCATTCTATAGACAATATGGTAAAGTATTAAATGTCCATGTACTTTATTCTGTAAAGCAGATGAAGTGGTCATTGCACATGTGCATTTCTGAGTGTTTCCTTCCTGGGTTTGCAGTTTCATCAAAACAAATTCATGATTTAACTTTGCCTGACAAGTTTGATTTATTGCAAGCGGCGTAAGGAAAATACTTTATTTATAATAGTTATGTATGATTTCCACACACAGAAAAAAAATGCATGTGTAGACTGTATGTTTTCTTCTCTGAAGCTGACATATGGCTGTCAGACTTTATCTCTCAGGTGATTTTCGTGTGTAGTTGTAGCAAAGCTCGGGAAGTTTATGTGACCTTGAGTGTTGCAATTCATCTATGGCTTTATTGCAGGTGTGTAAACATGCCATGCCCACAGGCTATATTTTGTTATATTCACACATATCTTGAATCATGAAATCAACATGAATGTTCTGTGTTACAACATTGGCCCTTAAACTTATTTAGGTCGCAGAATGTCATTGCAAATAACAAATTGTAAGAATGCCACTAAAGTAGATGACAAAATATGACGCCTGCTCCCTTCTCAAGCAGAATATTTGACTAAATGTGTTGAAAAATGAAAACCAAACATTCTGTATTCCAAATACAAACACTTAATGCTATGACATTTAAACTTCTTTGTAAATGTAAGCACACATACATCACAGAGACGTCTATTTGACGTCTGCATTTACATCTGCAAGACATATTATTTAAAGTGTTTGCTCATCTGCAATACATCTATAGGACGTTTCCTATCAGATGTCAAATAGACGTTTAGAAGATGTTTATGATTTAGAATGCATGTAAAACTGACATCTTAAAGACGTCTAGCAGATGTTTGTACACAGCAGATGCAGCGATCTTTAACAGACATCTTGCAGACTTCAAGGTCACATCTTGGCTATAATTAAATACAATCAAAACATCCTTCAGTATATAATGATGAGAAAACAGGATTTAAAAAAATACACTGAAAAAAAATGAATAAATTATTCTCATCTTATAACACATCACATTTACACTTTCACAATCAGCATGTTTCTCACAAACAGTTATTACTATATTATATCCAAATAAGTACATGGACCATTTTTTATAGTAGCCAGATAGCACAGGTATGTCTGCTTTATATGATCCGAGCATGTCGCTTTCCAGATTCAAATCAATCATAACCACACGGTGCTATTGTTCCAACCACAACCCAAACCATTAATTCATTAGGCAAATCTTTCATGTTTCATATGACCTGTGGTCATTTAATATGGAGGTATTTCCCCTGCGTCCAGCCCTCATCCGCATGGTTGAGAGAAACTCGTGAGAAACTCGTAAGAGCTCTGAATGCAGTCTACAGTATGTAAACCGAGCTAAAGTCTTTATTTGCATTTCACTTTGTTTTTGCACACACTCCCTTTCTGTGCACGCACACACACACACACACACACACAGTCCTGTCACATGACTTCATCCTGCTTTGCAGTTGATATCCTGGAGATCTGTGGAAAGAAAAAGAAGTTGAAGAGAAATGAATTGTGGCATGTATGTGTGCACTGCCTTGTTTGGATAGTTACCTGATTTCTGCATGCCTAGATGTTGATTGTAATTTGACAGATGACCATCGGTTGCTTTGTTCATGGAATGAGAGGGAGTGTCATAAAGCCTAAATCTTAATGCCACGTCTGTTTCTCCTTGCGAAATTCCCATGTGCTTTGATGCTGCCATGTTTCCCACCAGCCTGCTGATTATGTAACAAAATGTCATATAAACATGGACTTTTGCATTCGATCAAATCATTAACCATGTTATAGGGCTTCATATTTGTGTGAATCGATTAGGGATTGACCAATACGTCGCTGAGGCAGACTGACTGAACATTATTTGGCCACTTTTAGATAACTTTTTTGCAGATTATTTATTTCGAATAAACAAGTGTCAGTTTTGACATCTACCAGCAACCTTGGCTGATAATTGATTCTTCCCAAGACTAATGAAAAAAAGTAATTAAACAACTCACACACTTAGGTATAACCACTTTGTTACATCAAAATAAGACTTAAAATGGCCTGAAAACATGATCAGTGGGAGTTTTTAGTGAGTAATCAGCTTTGTGAACTTTAAGGTAAATCTCTGTGTCTGTGACCAATATTCACCGAGCTTTGATCTGAAAAATTCAACAATAGTTAAAAGTTAACTATTAAAAAGAATAGCTTAACATAAGTTCACAAATAAAATAATTTAACTCTTTACTGCCTTGAGTTATTATTTTGGAATAAATGTAAAATGCTTAAAAAACACTAACTTGATGAGATTCATACTTGGCTTTTTTCCCTCTTTTTCTGATAGTTTAAGTAATGTTTATTTAACCAAGAAAGTGTGACTGGGACATGAATTTACAGTGGGTATAGAAAAGAATCAGTCCCTTTTGAAATAATCACATTTTGCTGTATTTACTCAGCTCAGTATTTATAACATCCAAGTGAAAGATATAACACCAACATGTCAGGAAAAATATATAAAACCTGAATCATGGAGTTGGAAAAAGGATCACCCCCTTGTATCAGTATTTTGTTGAACCACCTTTTGCTTTAATTACAGCCTTTAGTCTGTTGGGATATGTCTCTACTAACTTTACACATCTAGACTTTGCAATATTTGCCCACTCTTCTTTGCAGAACTGCTCAAGTTCAGTTCAATTTGATGGTGAGTGTTTGGGCATTCACCTTTTTCTCCTTCAGCCACTGTGTGTTCAGTTCTGCTGTGTGCTTTGGGTCATTGTCATGTTGAAAGGTAAACCTTCTTCCCATTGACAACTTTCTGGTAGAGGGCAGCAGATTTTCCTCAAGAATTATTTTGCCCCATCCATTTTTCCTTCTATCCTGACAAAAGCTCCAGTCCCTGCTGCAGAGAAACATCCCAGAACAGGATATCACCACCTCCATGCTTTACTGGAGGAATGCTGTTATTTGGATGCTGAACTGTATTGGATTTCAGCCAGACATATCGTTTTGTGTTGAATCCAAATAATTCAATTTTAGTCTCATCTGCCTCAATCTTAAGGTGTGTTTTGGTAAAGCTCAGTCTGCAAAATGTGATTATTTTAAAGGGGCTGATTCTTTTCTATACCCACTATACATTTGATTAAAAAAAAAAAACTGTGAGGACTTCTTTATTTCAGAACACCACAGCACAACACTGATATATATAATATCGAGAACAAAAATAGACAACCAATCGTCAGAAGACATGTGGATCAAAGATGAAAGGGATTTTGAAGAATATATATATATATATATATATGACTAAAGCACACACACACACACACACACATTGTGTATATATATATTAAATAATACTAATGACTAAAGCACACACACACATATATATACTGTATATGAGATAATGGAGAAATAGGTGGATAGGATATGTATTGTAAATATATTTTATTGGATATCAACTGTTGACTCCCTAGATATCAGCATTAGTATCAGCTGTCGGCCCATATCAGTCGGGTTTCTCTGTGCTACTGCAGTTGTGGAGCAGGTCACTCAAGCAGGCTGGACATTTACTGAAGGAGGAGTTCTGTTTTCTTTAGTTCGCATGTAAAATCCCAAAACCATCCATGTGATCACAACTGCTCCATAATATCAGCACAAACACAGTCGATATGGCTTGCATGTGGGGGAATTACAGCCGGGTAATATTGACCGTCTCAGGTTAGAAAACATGGCACCTGTTTGACGGACTGTTTAACATCCTGGTTAACGATTACTTGTCAATATGTAAGAAGCAGGATATTACAGATCTCCTCAGCATATTCCATTAATGAAACTGACTTTAACCGATTAAAGTCAGTGTTTAACTAAATCACAGTTTGAAGTGCAATAATATTAATGAATGCTAAGTTAATGTTCTAACCAGTTACGACAACATTTTTCCATCCTTACTAAAAATGAAAAATCTGGGTCAGGCAACATTTAGAACATATTTAATGGCTAATATGTAGGCATGATATTAACAAGCAATGAGGGCAAAAAAATATAAACCAAGCGACCAACAAAATGTCTTGTTTTGTGTTACTTGTCACACTTGTGGCCATTTAGAGCAAGAACTATGAGATAAGATTGTGTCTTATCATTGTTTAACCGGGTTTGACCACATTTGCAACATTTCTTACCAGCTCCATATTTTTATTCCTGTCCATCTGCTGTCTTTCTGCAGTAATGTCCAGCTGGTTGAAGGACGGGGTGGTGTTGGAGGGGACGGGCAGTGGTCAGATGTTGCCGCACTCCAGACTGCGGAGCCCCTTGCCGAGTCGGACAGCGAGGTTACATTCGTCCAATGATGCGACCTCTCCCGACTCAGACAGACAGGACAGAATGAGCAAAGCTAAAGAGCTCTTTGAGCTCTGTGATAAAGAGGGGAAAGGATTCATCACGAAGAGAGACATGCAGGTGAGACTGGACATGTGATTTCTGTAGTAGTAGTTATTCTAGGAATGTGTTTAATGTGTCTTATCATGTTTAAATCCACCAGCGGCTTCAGCAAGAGCTTCCTCTGTCTCCTGAGCAGCTGGAATCAGTGTTTGAGAGTTTGGACAGAGACAGAAATGGTTACCTCACACCCCTGGAGTTCCACACGGGCCTAGGTTAGTGTGTATTTGTGTATTAATATTTTCATTAAACATAAAAA